TTTGGCAAGAAGTTCGGCGACGGCTCCGGCTGAGCGGGCAGGTCCGCGCAGCCGACGGCAGGGCCCTGTGGTGCCCTTGACTGCTGCGGTGGCTGCTGCTGACACAGCATCAGCGGCAGCATTGGTATCCGGAAGCGGCGGGCTGTTGCTGTGGGGCAGTTTCGGCTAGTGGCTCCCTGGTTGGGCCACCCACTCCCCGCATAGCTTATCACGCATGGCGCATACGCGCCCCCGCATTGCTGATCGAGCAAAGGGGCAGCTGCGCCGCTTGGCTTATCATGGCAAGGTGCTCCCGTCGCAGCCGCGCACATCTTTGTTTGATGCGCGTTCGTGACTCAGCGCCGCTGACTTGTTCCAGTCGTGTTGACTCTGCTTGCGGCCTCTGTTATGCGATGGTTCGTACCCGTACCTTGATGTCACCAGCAAGTAATTCACATGATTTAAGTCGGAGAGAGGGAACTCGCAGCAATCACTGCATGGGGGCGTACCGTAGATGAGTTGAGGGGATTGTGGGATGGCCCAGGGAGTGGGTGGGGTGACGGAAAGGGAGCAACCCGTAGCTCAATTGGGCCCACATGCGTATGGTACCTGAATCACCGCCCATGTTATAAACACCACAAGCGCGTGGACACAAACGCCGCGGACACAGGCCGACCTACGGTACGGTAGCTATATATCCAACTTATTCTTTACGGCCTGTTTATTTTCAAACAAGTCAGCAACCATGAGGATAACGAAAACGACGGGAGCTTGTTGCAGTTCATAACTATGATCTGAGAGCAGCTCATGTGCACGGTGCAGCCCGGTGCACTATCAGCCATGGACGAGCACGGGGACCAGCGATTGTTAGTCCTGGAGCCGCAGGAGTTGAGCTTTACTGGTGTGCGGTTTCACAAGGTGCGCCCTGCAGCGCACAGCGTCGCCTTTGACAGGCGGTTCAAAGTGTGTGCCGCAGCCAACCAAGGCAGGCCTTGCCCTGCATGCTGTGGTCAAGGTAGGCTGACGTTTACTTCATCCTGCCACCTCGTGCACCAAGCAGACGTATGCTCAGTCAGTGCGCCTGACCAACGCAGCTCGTGCGCCGCTTGAGGGCGAGATCCGGGCCGGCAGCAGCGACCGCTACGCGATCACGCCGCCCACCTTTCGCCTGCGCCCCGGCGAGTCGCTTGAGGTTGTGGTGAACCTCAAGCTGCTGCGCTTCGGGCAGCGCCAGAAAGCGGCGGAGCAGGGGCAGCGGGACTGGTTCACCGTCAAGCTGACCAACTTTCCTGGCCAGGATCAACGCTTTTTTGCCACCTTTTTCCTGGACCCATCGGAGGCCCCGGGCAGTAGTGGTGACAGGCAAGTATCAGGCTTCTTACTGTTGAAGCATGCATGGCCGGCTGCAGTGGCTGATGAAGGGGTGAAGATGCATGCCCGTTAAGAGAGCGGCCGAATTGTTCTGCTGACCCATTTTCAACACACACCTCTGGCTGCGCCGCATGCGCAGCAGGGGCCGCAGCCCCGCACGCAGTCCCCGCGGAAGTCCGCTCCCCGCGTCTTCCCCAAACCTCAGTCGCAGCGCCAGCCTGCAGCCGGGCTGGGCCGGGCAGCAGAGGCCAGAGGCTTCTGCCGGGCTTCTGCCTCGCCAGTCAGCCAGCACCCAAGACCATGCCAGCCCTCCTCCCGACGGCAGGGGTCGGGCCGCGGATGCTGGTCTGCTAGGCGCTATTGGCAGCAGCGGGGGTGTGCCCGGCAGCAGCGACTCGGTGGTGCGCAGCCCGCCGCCGCAGCAGCGTGCGGCCCTGCTGGACAGCGTCGCGCTTGCCGTGCGCGGCGGCGGAGCGGCGCGGCAGGTTCTTGCTGGGAGCGACGCAGGGAATGGCGGCGGCGCTCGCATAAAGAAGAGCGTCAGCTTTGCCGGGCCGGCACCACGACAAGACCCCCCGGCAGAGCAGCAGGAGGCCGGCGGCCTTGCCGTGCAGGATGGGAGTGGTGGCCGAGACAACCCCTTTTTCAAGTGGGGCGACACGTTCCTCAGGCGGCGGGAGCAGCTTGCGCGTGTGCATTCTCTGCCTGCCAGGGAGTCCGCGGCCATGGCACCAGCAGAAGCGGCATCAGCGGCAGCGCCAGCCCCGTCGGCGCCACCGCGAGCGTTGGACGATGCTCAACCTCTGGAACCTGCAGCTGCTAGCAGCTCCCTGGCATTGCCTCAGAGTGGGCCGGCACCCGCGGCGGAGGAAGCAGCGCGTCCGCCCGACCTGGTGGATGGCTCCGGGCTGAGGACGCTGCAGGAGCGTTTGGAGGCGGACAGGGAAGAGGTGGCGCACCGGCTGCGCGCGGCAGCGGGGCGCCGGACGACCAGCAATGCAGGTCTGGGGCATGAGGTTGCAGCAGCTGAGCAGCAGCAGCAGCAACAACGGCAGCAGCAGCAGCAGCAGCAGCAACAACGGCAGCAGCAGCAGCAGCAGCAGCAGCAGCAGCAGCAGCAGCAGCAGCAGCAGCAGCAGCGCAAGTTGAGTAGCTTTGAGCAGCAGGAGAGCGCACAGCTGAATGGATTAGGGTGGTCAAGAGGTGCCTCGAGCACGCATGCAAACCACACTACAGGCACTGACGCCGGCACACCGGCCAGCACGCAGCCCTTGGGTGGGGACGGCAGCGGCGGCAGCAGCGGCACACGGGGTGCGGATGCGCCCGCGCTGCCGCCGGGCATAGCGGCGGTCGTGGCGCAGGCAGTGGAGGCCGCGTTGCAGGAGGAGCAGGCACGCCAAGAGGTGCGTGCCGCTTCGTGCACGGCACATTGCCTTGACTGCCTCAATGCCGACATCAAGCACTTTGCTACATGCTCGTTTCAGCATGTTTTTGCTGCAGTGAAGCTTGCATCGAGTGCGCCGTGCGCGCTGTGATTGTTCGAAGTGCCCTCCCCCCCCCCCCCCCCCCCCGCATGCTAGGAGCGCAACCGCCGCGCACTGGAGCTGCTGCTCGCAAAGGACGCGTCAGTCCGCGCCCTCGAGGCCGAGTGCCAGCAACTGCGGGGCCAGCTGCAGGAGGCGGACGGGCGCGCCGCTGCTGCTGAGGAGGCCGCCTCGCAGCTGCGGGCTGAGGTGGAACAGGAGTGCGCCCAGAGGGCCGCGGCCGAGGCACGCGCGGAGGCCGCGGCCGCTGCGGCCGAGGCGCTAGAGCCGCGAGGGGGCCGCGGGGGTGGCGGCGCCGGTGCAGCTGTGGGTGGGGCCGACGGCCGGGACGCGCTGCTGCAGGAACAGGCGAAGCAGCTGCTGCGGCTGCAAAGGGAGGTGGGGTCTCTGGCCGAGCAGCTGCGCGCCGCACAGCAGCGCGCCGCCGAGCTCGAGGCGGCGCCCGCGGCCGGCGCCGTGCGGCTGCGGCGCCCCGCATCGGCGGCCAGCACGGACGGCTCAATGGGTGTGGAGCCCTCCCTAGACGGCGGCATGGCGCCGAGCGGCGGCGCCGAGCTCGATCGCGCCGCGTTGGCGCGCCGCGCGCGCCAGCTGGAGGGCGAGAACGAAGCCCTCCTGGCCCGCGTGCGCCTGGCCGAGGCGGACGCCCGCGACGCCGCCGGCGCGGCGGCAGCTGAGGCCGCGCGCGAGGCGGGGCGGCTGCGGCAGGCGCTGGCGGAGCGGGACGCTGAGGTGGCGGGGCTGGCGGCTGAGCTGGCTGTCGTGCGCTCCGCGGTCGACGCCGGGCCAGGTGCGCGTGCCGGATTTGTGCTGGCCAGGGCGGAAATGCTCTTGGTTTGGGCCCTGCCCTGCGCGGCTGGGAAGGGCGCGGGTGTGCTCTGCCAAACTTTTACTGCATTAGGAACTTGCATACAAGGGCACCTTTTGAAGTGTGCGCGCCTGCCTGCCTGCCTGCTCCCAACTGGGCAGGGTCCGACCCCGACGAGGCACACTACGCGCAGCTGCTGCTGCTGCAGCGCAGCCTGGCCGACCGCGAGGCCGCGGTGCGCGGCCAGGCGGAGCGCCTAGCGGAGCTCGAATCGCAGCAGGCACTGGCGGCGGCGGCGGGCGGCGCGGCGGCTGCGCGGCTAGCGGAGGCGCGGCAGGAGGCGGAGGCGGCGAGGGCGGAAGCGCGGAGGGCGGCGCAGGACGCTGATGTGGCGCGGATGACGTCGTGCAGGTGGGCTGGTTCCGACAGTGGCTGCGCAAGTGTCTGGTTCTGTGTGCAAGCTTTCGTTTTTGATTTGCACTCTGGTACACCGTATGTAAATTATGTTGCAATCCTTGCTCTTGACTGCTTGCGTATGTCTGGTAAGGGGTATTGCAGTGCTTAGCATCAGAGCCCGTCGTGCGTTGCAGACGCCGCCGCCACCTGGCTTGACCGGTCGGGCCCCATTCCGACCGCCCTCGCAGGCTCAACGCACGCGTCAACGAGCTGGTGCTGGGCAGCCAGGGCTCAGAGGCGCGCGCGGAGGCGGCAGAGGGCGAGCTGCGGCGCGCGGCCGCGCTGCACGATCGAGAGGTCAAGGTGGGGGAGGGGGAAGCGGCCCGATTGCAACCTGCCCAGTCCGCGACCAGTCTGTGTCCAGAGGCAATCGGGCTAGGGCCCCGCTGTGGACGCGGTGGCCTGCGGAACAGGTTGAGCTGTAGCTCAGCACCCATGAGTTCGTCGTGCTCCGCCCCGCAGGCCCTGCAGCGCCGGCTGGGCCAACAGGCGTCGCGGCGCAGTGGCGGCGGCAGCCCCTCGCGCCGGCGGGGCAGCCGCGGCCCGGCGCCCGCAGACGCCGGCACGGCCGCCTCGGATGCTGCCGAGCGCTCGGACGACAGTTGCGACGACGGCGGCGGCGGCGCGGGGGACGACCAACTGTGCGCTCCCGGCGCGGCTGCGTTGGCGGCGGTGGCAGTGACTAGCAGGCGTGCGGAGGCTGAGGGGTTGGGGCGGCCGCTGGCGATATACCAGGCTTTGGACGACGCCGAGCAGGCCGTCGCGCTGCTGCAGGCGCGCCTCCTGGACACGACCCGCGCGGCCTCCGCGGCGCAGCGCCAGGCCGACGCGTCCGAGGCCGCGGCGGCGGCGGCGGCGCGGCGCGCGGACGCGCGGGAGGCGGCGGCGCGGGAGGCGGGGGCGGTGAGGATCGCTGAGCTGGAGGAGGCGCTGGCGCGGCTGGCGGCGCGCGGAGACCTGGTGAGCGCCTCGATGCTGTTTTGATTACGACTTGACGCTCCAGCCATCAATCGTATTATTGACGTTGGATCGGGCACGAGAATCTGCAGGGGCTTGGGGGCTTAGAGGCAGAGTCGCCAGGATGGCGCGGGACACAGCACCATTACCTTCCGGCACAGATTCCTAGCTCCCCATCGCCGCGCACCCCGCACGGGCGGACCGCTCCACGACGCGCCCGCACAGGAGGCGCAGGCCGCGTCGCTCGCCGCCGAGGGCGCGTCGCTGCGCTGCGCCGAGTCGCGCCTCACCGCGGAGCTCGGCGCCCTGCAGGCCGCGCTGGCGGACGCGCGGCGCGACGCGGCGGAGGCCAAGCGCGCGCTGGCGGGGGCGCGGGACGCGGAGCAGGAGCGGCTGGTGTTGGAGGTGTACCCGCTGCTGCGGGCGAGCTACATACTGGCTGCCGCCGCGGCGGGCGGCGGCAACGGCGGCGAAGGTGATGCTGGGGGCGGCGGGCAGTTACGGTGTGTGTGGGGGGTTTGGATGGGAGAGTGCTCGGCTGATCTGGGCGGCGCAGCGGCGCCAAGCGGCTGACTTGGCTGCGGCGTGCCGTTTGTAAGCATGCAACGACATGCCTGCTGTAGGAGCTGCAGGTGCAGTAGGAACACAGACCAGCAGCCCTGCAACCCCCTGCGGCGCACTCACGTGACAGAGCAAGCATGCACGCGTGGCCGCAGGCTCCCTGCCGCCAGGCCTGGTGAAGCTGCCCGAGCGCATGACCGCCGACGAGCGCCGCAGCGCCGCCGCGGCCGCGCGCGAGTGGGAGTCGGACAGGCAGCGCGCGGCGCTGCTGCTGTCGCGGCTGGCGGACAGGGCGGAGGCCGCTGAGCTGGCGCTCGCGGAGGCGCGCTGCGGCGATGGGGCAGACTTGGGCGACAGCAGCCTCGTCAGCGTGGGTGAGTGGCCGCGCGCTGGGGTGGGCCGCGGTGGCGGCGGCGTGACGTAGAGCATGCAAGAATGAACAGACACACTGCAATGGCCACGGTGGGAATGGCCACGGTGCATTGCCAAGTGCCCACAGTCGCGAGTGCCCGCGCTGTGCGCCGCGTGCACCCGCAGGCGGCGCGCCGTTGCCCCGCAACAGCAGCGCCCCGTCCCTGCTGGCCCCTCGCGGCTCGCAAGGCGGCCGCTCGCCGCCGCCGCTGAGGCGGGCGAGCGGCGCCCTGGTGGACCTTGGCGGCAGCCTCGATGCGGCGGAGAGGGCGGCGATGCTGGAGGCTGAGCTCAACGCAGCCAGGTGGGCGGGGTTGAGGGGTGGGGCCTACACACGTATAGCCGGTTTGCGCGCAGGATGTTTGAGCCGGCTTTTGGCGCGGCGTGCTTCTGAGCGAGGGCGTCTTCGCTCGAGCGGCGACAGCAGCCGTGACACGTCCACGTGCCTCGCCACGCAACGACCCCGCAAACTCGTTGCCGGCTGCGGCGCCGCGGCGCGGCTGCAGGGAGAGGCTGCACCTGGCGGATGTGGAGTCAGCACGCCTGACCATGCAGCTCCAGGTGCGGCGCCTCCCACAGCCGGGAGCCCGCCGCCCGCCTGCGCTCGCGGCACGCTCAGGGCCACCGCGCACCACCTGGCACGGCCGCACGTATCGGGCCGCGGCCGCACGGAGGTTTCGGCCTCGGGACCAATTCATGACCCGATGGGCCTGCGCCTGCCCGCACTTGCAGGCGGCAGAGGGGCGCGTGGGGGAGGCGCACGCGCGCCTGGCTGAGGCAGAGAGGGAGGGCCAGGCGCGGGCGGAGGAAGCTGTCAGGGAGCGGGCGGAGGTGCGGCACCTCGCGCAGCTGGGGTTCGCGGGGTTGTCGGGACGGGGGGTGACGCGGTGCAATTCTGGGGGGGGGGGGCGTGGGCCGAGGGACCCTGCTGTTGCAGGATGGACATTGGTGTATGAGAGGAGAGCCGCCATTTTGTTGGCCGTTCATATGCTGAGACTCTGGATGTGTGTGTCCGTTGCGCATGAATCTGCCTTCCCTCAAAAGGCCTCCCGCTCGGCGGCGCGCGAGCTGGAGGCGCTGCGCGGCCGCGTGGCCGACGCCGAGCGCGCGGCGGACGCCGCGCGCGCCGCGCGCGCGGAGGCGGAGGTGATGCTGCGGGAGGCGCGGGAGGAGGCCGGGCGGCTCAGGGCGGGCGCGGCGCGCGCGGCGGGGGAGCTGGCCGGGCTGCGAGCCGCGGCGGCGCAGGAAGTGGCGGCGGCGCGGGACGAGGCGGCTGCGAGGGCGAGGTGAGGGGAGGATTCCACTGAACCGCGTTGTGGGGTTCAGGGTTTTGCAACTTACTCGTCGTTCTCCTTCTGGATAAAAATTTATGTGATTATATTGCAAACATTGGCAAGTAGCATGCAGTGTGCACATACTGGAGTGTGCTGCCTGTGCAGGCTTTGGGTTACACTAAGACAGGGTGTGAAGGAGGATTCCACCAAAACCAACCCCAGTAGCCGAAGCGAGACCGTGTCCGTACAGCCCCCTAGGCGACGGATGGGCAGGCCCCTGGTGCTGCTTTTATATTTTATTTAGGTCGACACGTGCCTCTTCAACTTCTGGGGACCTCGATGACGTGGCAGCGTGGCACCATTTACAATTCCAGATGGGTTTTGGAGGGGTACATAAGCAAACACCTCCCCGTCCCATGCACGCACCCTGGCAGCCCCAGCCAGTCACCAGCTCCGATCAGGTTGCTACACAAGGCGCAACCTTGCAACCCTAAACTAGTGTTGCTCTCGCCCTTCACATCGGCGGCAAATTCCCCCATGGGTCTTGTACACCCGCATCTCCCCACCCCAAAAGAAGCGGGCCTGCCGGCAAGCTGTGCTCGGGGTCACTCCCTCAGTCTGAAACCTGGGCCGCCGAGGACAGGCAGTCCACTCCCGCCCCGCCAGTAGCTTGGGCGGTGAAAATGGCTCGACCATGCGGTCTGCCAAGGCCGGGCGGCCTGGCGCCATGGGTGCTGCATATTGCTGCAATGGAACTCCAATGCAAAATCCGATTGACTTTTATTTGCAGCTGATTAGCAGGGGGTATGCGCACACATGTGTGTGCGTGCAGCAGCTATTTGTCATGTTCTCAGTTCACGCCGCTGCACCTCACACTCGCCAAACCCCACCGCAACCGCCGATGCCCAGGGACGCGGAGCGCGCGCGCTCCGAGCTCGAGGAGGCGCGCCTGCAGCAGGGCGTGCTGCTGGAGACCGTCGAGGCGCTGCAGGCCGGCTCAGAGGGCGAGGCGGAGCAGGCCGCCGCGGGGTTGGCAGCGCGGCTCTGCGCGGCCAGGGCGCGGGAGGGGGCGCTGGAGCGGCGCGCGGGCGACCTGCTGGTGAGGCCCGGCCGCCTGCAAACCTTGCTGCTGCGGCAGGACCGCGCCCCGGGTTGGGCGATGGGCGTCGGCCGATGCTAAGCGCCTCTACAACGTGTCGTGACAGTCTTGGATGGGCGACCCAGGCGGCGCCGCTACACCCTGCGGACCCTGTCGCGCTGCCCTCACACACAGGCCGAGTCAGCCGCCCGGGCCCGCCAGCTGGGTGCGCTCCAGTCTCAGCTTGACGCGGCGCTCGAGGAAGCGGAGCGGCGCGCACGTGCGGCGGCCGCGGGCGGCACGGCGGCCGACGCAGCGGGGCGCGAGGCGGAGGAGGCGCGAGCGCAGGGCCGCGTGGCTGCAGCGCAGGTGATTGGGAAGGATGTTTGTTCCGTTCGCTCCTGTGCATGGGTGCTTGATGCGCTGTTGCATCACCTGTCCGTGGCAAAGGTCCAATGTCCATAACAGTGCCAGCGCCGTGCCGGATTTTTACTCACTCTTGCTGAGCCACTGTCTGCCGCCCCCCCTGCCCCTTCGCCGCAGCTGGAGCGCGCCCACCGCGAGCTCGACTCCCTGAAGCAGCGGCTGGCAGCAGCAGAGGCGTCCGCTGAGGGCCTGCGCGAGGCGCTGGCCGGCTGCCACGCTCGGCATGCCAAGGAGCTGCAGAGGCGAGTTTGATACGTCACGGGCTGGGGCTGCTTTGGTGCCAGCCAGATTCGTGTGCATCCGGGGTGCCTTCATGGGCGGGGCGCCTGAGATGGGCGAGCACAGTTGACGTGCAAAGCAGGGTGGAGCGCGACCAGCGCCGGCGCCTCGACTCGTGTGATCTGTGTTGCTGGCCGCCGCTGCAGGGAGCGTCACGAGGCAGAGGACGCGCTGCGCCACGCGGCGACGCAGCGCCTGCTGCAGGAGGCGCCGCCGCACGAGTACGCCGCGCGCTGCGCCCACGCCTCTGCGGCGCTGGAGCAGCTGCTGCAGCTGGTGAGGCAGCACGTTTGCGGCGGCGGTGGCGGCGGGGGCGGTGGCGGCGGCAGCACGGGCGGAGGCGTGTTGATCAGCACGGGTGGGAGCGTGTTGAGCACTGGCACACGGCGACGGCAGTCGTCGGCTGCCGGCCGCGCGGCGCGCAGCAGTAGCGGCGGCTCTGCGGAGGGCCCTGTGGCGCCGTGGCTGCTGGTGGTGGTTCAAAAGCTCAAGGCGCTGCTGAAGGATTCGGACAGGTACGGTCGAGGGATCGGGATGCTGCTGCACCGTGCGCGTTTGCACAAACAGGGGGATGGGGCTGCGAAGTCGGGCCGGCGGCGGGCGGCGGCCGGGGCTGCGGGGCGTCCGGCAGTCCGGTGTGGGGTCTGTGAAGGGTATCCGGCACGCCACCTCTTGTGGGGACAAGCCTGTGGCTGACTTCACCTTGTGTTGATGGCCAATGAAATCCATGTGTATGTGTTGCAGCCTTTCTGATGTTCGACCATCCATTGACAATCCACGGACCAGGCTGTACCTGCGGGCACTGGGCGAGGCGTCCCTCACCCAGGACCGCGCGGCCGCCGCCACGCTGCAGCTCGCCGCCGCCCGCGCCGCCGCCGAGCGCAGCGCGGCGCGCTGGGAGGCCGCAGAGGGCGCCAACGCTGCGCTCACGCTCGCGCTGTCGCGCCGCGGCGAGACCGCCGCGGGCCACGTGGCGGAGCGGCTCTCGCTGCAGGCGCAGCGCGTCGGCACGCTGCAGCAGCAGCTGGGGTCCGCGCTGGAGTGCCTGGCCGGCGCGCGGTCCGCCGCAGACGCGGCGAAGTCCGCAGCCGCGGCGCAGCGCGCGCGCGGTGATGCGCTGGAAGCGCTGCTCGAGGCGTCCCGCGCTGAGGCGGGGGCGCTGCGGGCGCAGGCCGCGGCGGCGGCCATGGAGGCGGCCGGCACCGCGGGGGCGGCGGCCGGCGCGGGGCCGGAGGAGGCGGTCAAGGCGCGCGATCTGGAGGTCATGCGGTACTTTGACCGGCGGCTGGCGGCGATGCTGGGGGCGGGCGGCGAGGCGGGCGGCGCAAAGGCGCTGACGAGGGAGGTGCGGCGTCCATGGGCGCACGACGTTGGTCGGGGGGGCGGCCGGGGTGCATTGCTCGCGCCAGGGTTGGCGCACTCAGCCTCTGCAGCAGCACCGGTCTCAGGCCCCTGACCCTCGGTAGCTCTTATGATCTCGCACCACGAACAAACCCGACACGGGCAGGTGTGCGCCCTCAAGCTGTCCGAGAGCCAGCTCATCGCCTCGGAGGCCTCTGCCGCCAAGCGCGCCGATGCGGCGGCCCTGCGTGCGCAGCGCCTGCAGGCCGCGCTGGACGCCGCGACGGAGCGCCTCGCAGACCACCAGCGCGCGTGGCAGCGGCGGCAGCAGCAGGACGAGGCCGGGGCCGACGGCGGCCCCGCGTCGCAGGCCGCGCGCGCCGCGGCGCGGGCGGCGGCGGCGGAGGGCAGGGCGCACGAGCTGCAGGATGGCCTGCTGCAGGCGCGGCAGGTGCGTGGTGCCGCGGTCGGGGCGCCCGAACTTGACCGCCTCATCTGCTGGCTCTCCCAGCAGACGTGCGCACCCAGCTCGCCTGAACGTCATCATCAGCATCATCATCATTGTGATCGACATCATCACTCAACCTGGCCGTGTCCGACAACGCACCGCGCTGACCTGCCTGCACTGCTCTGTGAGCAGTGGTCAACCCGCGCACGAGCAACCATCACAGCACGGGCCCGTCCCCCACCCCCAGGCCCTGGACGCGCGCGAGCTGGAGGCTGAGGAGCTGCGTGCCCTGCTGGAGTCGGCCGAGGCGCGCGCCGCCCGGGGCCGCCAGGAGGCGGAGGCGGCGCTGCTGGCGATCGAGCGAGATGCGGAGGCGCGCGCGGCGGGGCGGGAGCGGGCGCTGAGGGCGGAGGTGGAGGTGAGGCAGGGACCGGTGATTCTTGAGATATGCCTGATAAGAACTTTGACCGGTCAATACTTGACCGCTGCCTTGGTCACTCTATCCTTGAGGGCCTTTCTAAAATTCCAATGAGGACACGTACATAAATACACACGTGTCATGTGTATTTATGTATGTGTGCTTCTCTCTGCAGGCGCTGCGGCACCAGGTTCGCGAGGAGGCCGAGGCTGCCGCGCAGCGCGCCGAGGACAGGGAGCAGGTGCGGGCTCGCGGTCCCTCAGTGCTGGCTCGCCTGCAGGTCAGGCCCCATCGGTCCGCCCGCCCTGGAGCTGCACGCGTGGACAGCCACACTCATTACCATAGAAAGCCGGAACCCCAGACGCCCCCTGTGCATTCGTTGTTCCAAGCAGGAGTTCCAAGCGGCCGCGTCCGAGGCGGCGGCGGAGCTGGTGCCTGTGACAGCGCTGGAGGAGGCGGAGGCGCACTGTGCGGCCCTGGAGGCGCGCACGGAGGGGCTGGAGGCTGAGCGCGACGCGCTGCAGGACAAGGTGTGTGTGTGTGTGCTTGTGTTTTTGGGGGGGGGGGGTAGGTGAAGCGCTCAGGAAGCGGCTGCTGAACACGCTCGAGTGTTTGTGGCTTAGCCTCGCCACAGTAGATTGAGGATGGAAAACACGCAGCACTGCGGCCAGTATGCCAGCCCCGGCCCCGGCCTCGGCCCCGGCGGACACGCCAGATGCGGCCCGTCTAGTGCCTAACGGGATCACCCGCACCTCCTCAACGTCGCGTTGTGTTGTGGGCCCCTCCCGCAGGTCACCGAGCTGGAGAGGCGCGTGGCGGAGCTCCAGGACTCCACAGACGTGACTGGTGCTGCAGTCAGCAGCCTGGAGGCAACCCTCGAGCGCATCGAGCGCGCAGAGTCTCTGGCCCGAGACCGCGGCAGCGGCGCGCACCAAGGCCGCGCCCTGGACGGCGCTGTGCAGAATGCGCGGCGCCGCGGCTCGCGGTCGGACGGCGGCGCCGGCGCGGCGGACGAGGCGGGCGGCGGGATGGACGGGGCGCCGCAGCCGGCGACGCTGGCGGGGGTTTCGCGGGAGCTGGTCCGCAGCCAGATGGCAGCTGCCGACCTCCAGCGCAAGATCAGGGTCGCAGCCAGGTGTGAGCACCGGGGTTTCAAGGCGGGCCGCGGCGCCGCACACCCAAGCTCGCCGTGCACTACACAACGCTGCTGCTCTCCCCCGGAGCGCCACGCTGCCAGCTGCACTGGACATCTCACCACCAATCCTTGCCTTGCTCCCTGCCCTTCAAACCCCCCAGGTCTGAGGTCGACCTGCGCCAGAAGCTGACTCAGCGCGACGAGCGCGTGGCAGAACTCAAGCAGGAGCTCGCCGCGAAGAACCGCGCGCTGCTGGAGCTCCAGCGGCGCGGCGCTGACGCACCGCGCCTCCAGCGCAGCGCCAGCGGCGCCCTCGCCGGCAGCGGCGGCCTGCGGCGGCCTTCAGCGTCGCCGGGCGCCTTGAACGCCAGCGCGGGCGGGACGGCTGCCAGGCCCGACGCGACGGGCGCCGCGGCGGCCTGGGGCGGCGGTGACGACGGGGACACCCGGGAGCCCTCACCGCTGTCGAGGGCTCAGTCTGGCGTCTCGGCGGCCGCGGCCGCGGCGGCTGTCAGCGAGAGGCGCCACCTGTCGGGGCAGGTCGGGCAGCTGAGGGTGCAGCTGGCCAAGCGTGACGCGGACGTGCAGCGCCTCGAAGGTGGGTACGCCCTGGAAGATGCGGCTGTGCCTGCCCGGGGTGACGAGAGAGAGGGAGACAGGAAGAACGGGATAAAGGGGGGCCTCCATGGCAGCAGTCGAAGAAGATGGGATGTCTGCACGGCGGTCGCCACAAGCTGCGGCGACCGCCCCTTACGCCAGGCAGCGCCCCTGATCGCACAACCCCCCGTGATC